GGGGTCTGGAATCCCCCCTGTGTGGCTGCAAGAGGTGTATTTTGTAGATGAGGTTGTTTAATAGCTGACCAGCCACTCCAGCTCCTTTCCCGGCTCCTGTCTGAACCACGCCATGTAATAGCCGGAGACAGTGAACCCGCTTACGGCGCATTTCAACTGAGTGGATTCTCCGGGCTTCTTCATTTCTGGACCGGACTGGGTCAGAACAACCTGTGACCGGGCCCCTGCGTAAGGAGAGGGGAGGAGGGAAGAATGAGGGGGAATAAAATAAGTAATCGCACTTTGCAATCTATGTTAATATCTTTGCAGAAAAACAGTGATAGTCTCCTGCTTCTGCAGTGGATTTGTGCAGAGAAAATACCTGCCAGAGAAGCCACAAGGAAAAGTAAATGGAGCCAAAGTCTCATTTTCCCTGGTGTTTGAGGGGGAAATTCTCAGGGAGGCTGGCTGGTAACTGCACAGACACAGGGGGCTGCGGATTGTCTCTCTCGGTGCCTCCTGGGCAGAAAGAGAGAGAGAGATTTAAGCAGGAAACTGATACCCCCATTTGCATATTCCCCTCCTTATAAGAGGCACAAATGTCTTGCCTGCTCTCTAGATGTCAGAGACATTTGAGAAAAGGGGTGTCTTTGGCAGGGAGCTTCATTCTTAAGAACCCATTCCCAAATCATAAAGAGGGGGCCTCTTTGGATTTTTCAGAAATCCAGTCTTGGTTGTTGATATGCTATCAATAATCAATAACTGAGAACTGCATGTTGATAACAGTAAAGGGTTCTTATTTATTCCACTTTGCTTAGTGCTGATTGATTGTTGTTGGGTACTGAAGAAATCCGTACATGTATAGATAAGAATACCCTGTTAAATCAGACTTTCCATTTCAACTGGGTGGGTGCCTGGTCCTCATCTCATTGTATCACTAGATCCCTTCTGTTACCAATGTTTTAATCTGTTTGAATGAATGGGCCAGAACACCAGCTATCGTCAGTGGGGGTAGCAGCCTTGGGATCCGTGGAGCTTCCAGAATTCACACCTGTGAGGCTCTGACCCCAGAACGATTGTCCTTCTGTCGGGCTTGGCCAAAGCTCAGCAAAGTAAAGTAAAGAATAAATGATCACAAATCAGACATCAAGAATTGTAACATTCAAAAACCAATAGGAGAGCACTTCAATCTCCCTGGCCACTCAATAACAGACTGAAAAGTCGCCATTCTTCAACAAAAAACCTTCAACAAAAACAGATTTCAATAAGAAACTGCAGAACTGGAATTAATCTGCAAACTTGACACCATCAAATTAGGCCTGAATAAAGACTGGGAGTGGCTGGGTCACTACAAAAAATAAATTTCCCTCTGTTGATAGTCACCCCTTCTTGTCAACTGTTGGGGATGGGCCACATTCACCTTGATTGAATTGGCCTCGTTAGCACTGACCCCCCACTTGATAAGGCAACTCCCATCTTTTCATGTGCTGTGTATTTATACCTGCTCACAGTATTTTCCACTCCATGCATCTGATGAAGTGGACTATAGCCCACGAAAGCTTACGCCCAAATACATTTGTCAGTCTCTAAAGTGCCACAAGGACTCTGTGTTGTTTTAGCTTCAAACAGGAAATTCTCACCCTATTTGCATATCTCCCTTCTGATAAGAGACTCCAATTATTTCCTAGAACAAACTCAGTTTCTTTGTGTGTGGCTGAGAGAAGGGCCAGCAATTTATCTCTGGGGTACCCTCCTCTCTCAGTCGGGGTCCTAGCACCACTGGATTAGCGTTTCCTATTGGACTATAAGGAGTCCAGTTGGCATCTTCTTTCTCCTCTCCCTAACTCCCATATTTAACACTAACCCTGAGCATAAACCTGAACCTTAACCTTTATATTTATCTCAACCTGAGACCTAAAGGAATACCTAGTTCTATCACTAAATCCTGACTTCATCCGTGAAGGCAATTCTAACCCTCAGTGAAAATTCTAACCCTGACTTTTAACACTCACCCCCCACCCCCATCACTATCTTGAAACTAACACTAAAGCCTGACCTAAAACATAACGATAAAGATAAAACCAAACCCACAATTTAACTCTTAACTGAACACAAATCTAAATTTGTACTGTAACCCTATTTCTAAGGGTAACAAATAACCGTAATCTTTAACATTTACTCTAACCCCAACCTTAAATGTATAAGCAAACAATAATCCTAAATTTGGCCCTAATATTAAACATGACCTGTCACATTAACCTTTAACTGTAACCTGGACCTCAAATTAATTCTCTGTCTCTAAATCCTAACCCTATTTGTATCCATAAATCTTAACTCTATCCCTAAACCTAGAGCTAATTTTAATCCTACCCGGAGGCCTGAAGTCTTGTTGTAACCCTAAAGTCTATACCTTAAACTGTAGCCTTAATAGATGGGCGGATAGGAGTTACGTGATAAT